AACTTTAATTACGAGTCGTAGCTCATTACATTCTTTGCCACCGGTAGTGTATGTCGAGGTTCTGTAACTGTAGACTCGAGATTGATGGTGGTGATTGAAATTTATCAGAAGGAAGGGTATATTTTTTTTTCTCTTACGTTTTGGTGGGTGATCAAGTGAAAAGTGTGCGAATAGCAGTGGTAGTTGTTTAGTGCAAACATGTATTCAGGGTTGAGTCAACGTCTGTAGATGCGCTGTCAAGGATCATGACTGTTGGGCTTAAAGTCGTGTTCGAGTTTGGAATGGGATGTTATTATTGACATCACTCTAATGTAATGGTTCTCGGAAAGATGATTTCGTAATTATTCATTTCTGTAAATAAACTATTTCTTTATTAGTTAATACAGTATATCCCCGAATGGATGGCAATCAAATTTATTAAAAAAAAAACGCATTGTTCGTATGTATAAGAGAATACAACAACAAACAATAATAAATACTATAATCACTTGTATTCGGTTTCACATGAATCATAGTTTTCTCGGTTATCACAAACAAATTAAATAGGTGGATTTAAACGTTAACAAATAAAAAAAGTTTCTGTAGAATCAACCATTCTAGTAAAATAATGATCTATTTTTTAGAATATAAAAAGTCAAATATTAAGTTCTTTTGATACTTTTTGATTTTTTTATATAAATTCTAATTTTAAAAAAATAATTTTTACTATATAAATTTTTTTACAAGAATGTCTTTTTATATAAGATAAAAATCATTTGACTTTTTATATGTTATCAAATTAATTTAAATTTGTATATGTGTATTGAATTTTAATAAACTTGTTTAATTGAAAGAAGCTCAAATTTAATGTATGTTGTTTTTTAGATCATTCTTTTTTTTTCCATGTTATTTTATTAGTTCTTTAATTTAAAATTAAATTATTTTAATTAAGTAAATAACTTTATTTAAACTAAAAATATTTTTTAAAAAAAAAACCTAAACTTAGAAAAGATATAATTAATAATTATATATCAAGTTAATCAAGTATAAAAAAATTTGTTAAAGATAAAAATTTAATTGTCAGTATTAACTATATAAAAACTTATTTTGCTAAAGATTTAAACTATCAATTAATATGTTAAAAGCATATAATTGTATGTAATTTTATTTTAAATACTTAATAATATTATTATTTTACTTATTATTTAAAAAAAGATCTAAAAAGAATAATTACAAACCTATTTTTTTATTTTAATGAGTTTTCAAATTTTATAAAAAATCATAATTAGTTTACTTTTATTAAAAAATTAATTAATAATATAATTAGATATCAGCTATTGTTTATTATTTTTTTTTGAATTCTTAAAGTTTCACATATATTACTTATATATTATAGTAGATTATAATTAATTTACTTTATATAAAAAGTTATTAATATAATAATAATAAATAAAAGTATAATATCATTTAAAAAAACTCTTTTCCACTTCTTTCCAAATACTTAAAAATTTTCTTTTTAGAAAACTTTTGAGTTGTTTACTTCTTTTTTCACTTTCTTTCCTTTTCCTGTTCCTTGCTTTTCTTTATTTTTCTCTCCTTTCTTTTATTCTTCCTTTCTATTTTATAAACTTTTTCTTTCAAACTATTTATTCCCCTTTCTGTTTTTTTCTTTTCCTATCAAAGTTAGGTTTTTCTTCCCCTTAAAGGATTTTTCTTTCTAGATCTTTCTTTCTTTTCCAAAATACTATTCCATTTTATTACTCTTTTGGCCAATAGACTTTTCTTTTTTCCTACTATTAAGAAGTAGCAACTTTTCTCAAGATGTGGACTTTGGAAAATTTTTCTCTTCTATAGTACTCAAAAAAAGATTAAATAGTTTACTCCCTTCAAAAGATCGACATGGTCATTATTATCAAATCTGATGTTATTTATTTATTAATGGCAAAGACTAAATATATTTAAGAAACTGTTATACAACTATTATCACCTGAATTTTCAAGGAGTTGTACCCTACAGTATCCAAAGCAATATGATAACCAATGCCAATGCAACTAACAATAAGTTGCAGATATTATACTGATAATTGAAAAATCTAATAAGATAATACATGATAACCAAGGATTCTAATTACTTCTATAAACAAAGTTGGTGATAACAATGCAAGTTTCTTGCTTACTCCTTGACAATATAGATCTATTGTGCAAAGCTAGGTAACAATATCTATAAAAAACTTCAATTCTATTATATCCAATAACTTTTCTTAACAACTATTATTACATATCCAAATATTCCTCCTCCACCTTCTCTTGCCTTATATTTGTACTGGATTCTACTCGATTACTTGAATAATGTAGCTATGTATATGAAACTTCTTGTGAAGAGTGACTATTCTCTTCCCTACTTGCCACAGGTATAAGCAACTGTTATAGGCTTGGGTAACCTATAATTTGTCACAATCCTAAAAGGGTAAAGAAGGTCAAATACTAGGTGATCAGATGAAAGGTTAATTTTCACTAGATGTTCTAACTGAAATAATGATCACTTAATTAATTAAACAAGTTATTCAGGTGAAGCATAGGGTAAAACATATTTGACTTGCTATACATCAAGCCACATTTAAAAAGCATGCATGACAATTCTAGTCATGACTTGAAGGTCAACCTATATATAGTGGCTGCAATGCTTTCATGTAATTAGGTTTTAAATTTCTCTAAGTAGCTAGATGCCATTTAAGGCATAATATAGGTTTCAAATTTCTTTTTCTTATATTCTTAAGTGGTGTCAAGGAGTTTAGATGAAAGTGCCATTTTTTGAGCCTGGCATTTAACTTTTTTTGACAAAAAGAGATATATATTATACTATTGGATTATAAATCTTATAGTTCACAAGTCTAAAATTATAAATAAAAATAATATGTAAGAACTGCCAGTTCTTTCAAAAAAAAAATAAAATAAACAAAAGTATAATAAAATATTTTATATTTAATACTTGTTTGTTTTTAAAAAAACATTTGACAATATTAGATTAATATTTATTAATTTTAAATAATAAATTTATTATACTTTAATTTTCAAAATGTATTTATTTCAAGATGAATTAAATAATATTAATAAGTATTATCATTAATCACTTGTCTTATATTATCTGATGTTTTATATGAGATATCAGTTTTATTTATATTATTTAGATCATCTTTTGATATTAAGCATGAGTAGCAAGGTCAGAAAAAAATAGATGGCAAATAACTATTTAAAAACTTTTTTGCTTCAAGTAAATCAGTTAATATTATAGAAAGTCATAGGATAAAAGTAATTATATCATCATAAATTACAAAGTAAAATTCTAATTCTTTAGATATAGATTTAAGAATAATTGATAGGCACTTTTGAGAAATTTCTTTTTGTAATTTACAGAAATTTTCAGAGTTCTTTGTTTTAGAATTGTTGACTTTTAGTATCAGAAGATATCCAATTAATGCTTTAGATTCTGATTTATTTTTTTGAAAGTTTGATATATTACCAAGTGATAAAAAATAGAATATTTAGATAATTTATTTATATTATCTAAAGTTGTTGCATCTGAATAAAGAATAATCAATAATAATTATAAATCCAGGAGCAAATATAATTCTTCATACTTCCATCAATTTAAATTAAATTATTCTTCAAAAACTTGATATTTAATTCTATTTTTTATTTCAATTTTTTTTTCATACTTAAGTATTAAAAACTTATTAATACTATTGATCATTAATAAGGACTTTTTAGTTTTAATTATCAATTGATAATAAAGTTTATATTTAATATTCTCAAATCTTATTATAGAAATTTCTTTAAACTCAATATAAGAAATGGCTGAAGTGTCTAAAAACTCTTTTCCAATCTTTGTTGATAATAGCAATAATAATATGTTTAAGTTGAAATATTTATTAAAAAAAACTTATTATAGTATCACCAGCTACATTAAATAGTTAATACTGATTAATTAATTTCATAAAATTTTGATATGTATCATTAGGCTATTCAATTATTTCAAGATGTTGTAAGTCATTAAAAGTATCATCAAATGAAGTATCTTTATAGTCTTCAGAATCACTTTCATTAAATTTAATCTGAAATAAATCATTTTCTATTACTTTATATCCATAAAAGAATCTTCAGTACGAGATAATATTGATATATTTTTTCTCTAATAAAAAATTAATATTATTTATTAATATTTTTTAACTTTATTACTATCAAGTTATTTAATACTATATATCAATTCAAGTTTAGAAAATATAGATAAATTTTTATTCTAATAATAAAAATTAATTATTATCAATTTAAATGTATAAAAATTTTAACAATATTTATCCTATATATTAAAGAATTGTCAATGTCAATATCTGTAATTAAATCTTTACTAGGATTATAAGCAGATAAGTTTCATATATTATTATCCATCTTCTCAAATATTGCTTGATCTGTTAATTCTTGATTAAACAGATGCTTTAATGAAATGTATTAAGTTAAAGCATAGAATTTGGAGAATTCTTAACTATAATATTTATATAGTCAATATATTTTTAGTCAAATTATTTTTAATTGAAAATATATTTATTCTAAAATAGATTTAAATATAAAATTATGCTGACAATTATTATTATTATATGTCAAAAATCATAAAATTATGATATCACAATTATTGTTATATGCAAAAAAAATAATTATATAAGTTAGCAAATAATATGATTATTAAATCAATTTATGATATCAAAAAATAAAGTAATTATATTACATATAAATACTTTCATTTGGTCATTAATTTTTTAAAAATTTTCATGTTATTATATTTATTAATTATAAAAATAAAATAAAATTTAAATAAAAATGTTTTAATAAAATACAATGTCTAATGAAAATACTTCAACTCCTTATAATACTTCTCCTACTGTATTTCTTAAACTCAGTTTATTATTAATATGTAATGAAATATTATTGATTCTCACCAGCCTATATATGCTTATTATTATAGTGATTGCTCAGATTCAGCAAAAAGTATTGCAAATATACAAAATATCTTTTCGATAATGAATAGTAAAAATTAATGTTTCCTTAAAAGTCAATAGCAATCTCCTTCCAGCCAATGTCCAAATGAATAAGCACAATCCCAACATCATTCAGAAAAATAGTCACAGTATAGACTTGATGAAAATCAGTCACAATAGAAACAACAGTTTAGAGATTGGCAAAAATTGAGATATCCTTCAAAAGAATAATCTCAATCAAAACAATCTTCTAGAAAACAAAGTCAATCAAGACAGTCTTCAAAAGAATGA